GGATTCTCCTTAAAGTGATCTGCAACATTTCAGCCTTCAATCTATCATAAATTATGACTAATGAGTGATAGACAGAATTTGTGCTTAGAAAAACGGAGTTGTGTGCAATTTGCGCTTTACTGTGGGCATGCTTTGGGCTTTCATCCAGTTCAATACCAATCTGAGTGCAAAAGCTTCCAATGTTCGTATCAACTTTGCTTGAGAGTGCCAACAGCACTACATACTCTATATAGACACGCAGGCTAAATCGTGGTCATAATAACATATAACACAATATTTAGCATAAAAATTATATCATATTGGCGTCAATAATCACTGATTTTTTGAGTTACGTCCCCTATGAAGGCTTTAATGAAAGTATTATAACGAAAATGAATGAACGTTCGTATTAGGTGGAATGGTGTAGGATATCAAATTATCGGTCTTACTCGTGCATAATGTTCGTAATTGCTTTTTATACAACAGATTTTCAACGAAAGATCTTATATGGGAGGTGATTGAAAAAGTGATCCGCGACCGAGGAGACGTCAAACAGAGAGACAACTTTAGATAGATGCAGAAAATGATTCTAAATTCGTCGATGTAATAACAAATGAAAAAGTTATATTCAGCGGAACCGAATCTCGCATATACATCACTATTCTTTTGCGCATTTTACTCTCCAAGTTATGCTTCACAGCGGGCTTCTGCACCGACCAATCTGCGTGCAAAAACTTAAAGTGCTTCTACCAATATCTTCATTTTTGTGATCAGGGAGTAGCAACAACAACTACATACGCAAATGGCTAAATCTATTCAAAATTTCATGCTCAACCCGAATAGATATACTTTATAGAATCTTTGAAGCTTCCTTTTAAAAAAAAAAACAAAATGAGTTTACCGCCTTACACCTCTTACCGTAGCGGGTATAAAAAGTAGGTCTAGCTATTAACACATCCTGCACCACAAGTGAGGCAGGGTATAAATACGAGATTTGAAAGGAGACGAGAGTGAAGTTGTACAACAAAACTCAAAGACTTCATCCTTTCTTTGTATAGCATTTTCCTTTAAAAATAATAGCAATCCGCCCCGTTTCAATGTTATCGACATATGAAATTAAGGCGAATTTTTTTTAATTTTCACATATATGACAAAAATAAAGTATCTATGTCTTAAAAATGAAATGTTTGGTGAATAGCTAACACCTTCGATAGACTGGCAAAGTTGTAGTAGTAGTACTTAATACCAATCGAATCCTGGCTCACTACAATAAGTCTTTTGTGTTAGCTCAATTCTTTAATATATCCTATAGGTCTAATGTGAAGATTAAGCTTTCTCAGTTAGATGCTCCGTAAGAGCAACTTCCTCCATTTAACTTTTCAGTAGTCAATAAAGGATTTGCCATTAAGAACATATATACCAGTCAAATAGCTATAGACGGATTTATTATTTAGCTTGATACGATGGATCAATGTTTTGAAAAATCTTTAATTTGAATGAAAAATATTAGATAAGAGGAAAATTTACAACGCATTACTATGATTATATAGAAATGATTTAGAAATAAAAAAAAAGCTTTGTTAATTGTTGTTGCTTTAAGTTCATCAAAGAAGACTACTTACTGAAAGCATTTGATATACTAAGTAAACATTTTCTATTGGACATAAGTAATCTTTGTTCGCTAAAGCAAATAAAATTAAGCAAATTGGCTTAAGTGGTTTCTAAAGCTTTTTAAATAGAAAAACGTGAAGAATTGTTACGATTTAACAAAGGCTTTGCGGCAGTAAATGAAAATATAGCGCAGTAGAAATTAAAGTCGGCGGTATAATACAGATTCGCATATTAAGGGGATTAATTAATGGATTACGACGGACTTATAAGAAAACTTGAGGCAATCGCTTGCCTACTAGAATGCGCAACAATCCTATTATGGTCTTTTCAATATTTTCAATACGGCATTCAACAATGGTGAGAATCGTACGAACATCAGCGATTAGCGATTGCTTAACAGCAGGCAAATCTGTACATTAGCGGCACTGTACACTGTATAACTGAAATGTAATAACAGCATAGTTTGCAATCTTTGAGCTTTATCGGGGAGCGCTAGCAATTAAAGCAATAAAACGCTTAGTAATAAAAAAGAGTCAATTCACATAATCAACAGATTGCCTACTTCCTGACGGCGAAGCTGTACGAGTTTCAAATAACGTATCGTCTTGCCGTGGTAATTGTAGATCGGGGAGATGACAAATTTTCGTTCTTGCTTTGACATTCTGATCGTAGAGGAAATGCAAGTCTACGGATTAAGTGAGTAGAGAAACCTTAGCCTTCTCTTTTTTATTCATAATTAAAGAGATTGCAATTGCACAGGAGCATAAGACTTTTTATGTCCTTAGTTCTCCTACCAAGAAATTGTAAAGACAATTTCCTGTTTTAATTAAGCCTTGTAGAGATTTTGGTTAACAGTACTGGCAAAGAATTTTATTTATTGAGATCTTGTTATCAATGGCCATTGTTATGAATTCGAGTATGCAAGTTGTCCTGTAACGAGCATAGAGTGTCACTATAACACATTCTGCATTTACATTTTTAACGGTAAATTTTACGTAGTGTGTGTGTGTGTGCCTGTAAGTGTGGGTCTCTCTCTCTCTCTCTCTCTCTCTCTCTCTCTCTCTCTCTCTCTCT